AAAAAGCACAAAAGTTACAAACATCAAGTCTGTCTTTGATTCAAACATATACCATAGGCCAAGCCCACATGCCCACAGTTTTGGTGTGTGGCTCACAGCTATGGTGGGTCATTCTCGCCCCTGCAGGCCCAGCATGCAGGGGGTGTCATAACTGAGGACGACTTCAGCAACTACAGTGCCCTCGTGGAGAATCCCGTGTGTGGCGTGTACAGAGGTGACCTCTCTCTCAGCTATCAGGGTCCCTGCTCAGGAGAAGCCTCCCAGTCCATGGCCACCTCCTTTTGGCCTAGAGACTCCTCCCCATTGTTCAGGAGAGAAACTGAGGCAGTGAGCTTGCCTGGGCAGCCAACTGTTGAAGCAAGCCAGAGCCAGCCCACCTTCTAAAGTAGTTGTGGGTCAGTTACCCCAAGTATTTAGGATATGGGGTGGGAGGTCTAGTCAAAGGCTCAGGCCTGAGAGTTGGGGTTCTGGTCATAGGTTTTCTTGATTTGGGCTCTGTGTTGCCTCAGCCCCACTCCCAATGCCCTGTATTTCCTAAGAAGAATTCATGAGTCCATCTAGCTTCATATTGAACAAACTTTTCGAGACAATTATAGACCTGTCCCCTCATGTTTCAAAAGGAAACTGAGGCCAAAGGATAGAATGGAACTTAACCTAGCAATCTCAAACCAGCGAGGAGCCCAGAAAACTAAACTTTTGACATGGGTGAAGTCCATGTTTGCTGAACCCAAAGTGGTGGGTCCCTCAGAAGGTCCCCAGGTTCTCAGATTCTCTCCTCTCTAGGAGGTCTGGATGACTTCAAGCCCCAGAAAAGTTCCCCTCTGAGTTCAGGTTTCCAGGACTCAACCTCTAGCCTGATTATTCTACCAGAGGTGATGGTATATGGAACAGAGGAAAAGTATAGCTTTGGAGCCAAGAAGACCTGGGTTTGAGTACCAGCTATCCCATTCACCTTGAATAAGTCACTTTCCACTCTGAGCCATGGTTCCCTCCTGAAAATGGAGATAATAGTGGTGCCTACCTCTCAGGACCCCCATGAAGATTTGAGGAGATGATGTTGAAAGCTGCCCTGATCAGAGTGGATACTGAATGCTTATTTGATTTTACGTTTCTCCTCCCCAGCCTGGGTTCTCTTGGCAATGCCAGTACCTTGAGTGCTCTGGGTTCCCTTTGTCTCCTGTAAACTTGGACCAGCTGCGTCTCTGTGCCTCACTTTCCTCACCTGTAACATGAGGATGATAACACTACCCATTGTGAGGATTAAATGAGTTAATTAGTTAACGTTATGCGTCAGGTATTATCATTATTACTTCAATGTCCAAACATTAAATAATAGGAGCCTCAAATAGGAAGAGGAGATTGTCACCCGCAAGACGTTTTGGGGGTCATGGGACCATAAGAGGCCCTGAATAGTATTCTGGCCTGTGGTGGGAGCTAAAAGGAGACACATGATAGGTCAGGAATTTAGACATCTGGACACCTGTCCCTGTTCTGGCTACAGTGTGACTCTGGGCAGACTACAGTCCTCTTGGACCTTAGTTTCCTTGTGCAGAAGAGGAAACTGAAGGCCAGTGTTCTAGGTTGGAGTCCTGGCCCTGCCCTTGACTTGCTGAGAGAACTTGTGTGGGTCCCTTTGCTTCTCTGTGCTTTGCCTCTCAAGGCAGATTCCTTGTCTGATGAGGGGCCAATGCAGTAGTCTCAGTCTACATGATGGTGGAATGTGGAGATGCTTTGACCCCTCCCCTGCCATCCAGTCATTTCTTTTTTTTTTTCCTCCAGGCCACCTGGTTCTCAGTCCCCCTCCCCCGCATACGGGTCCTGCCCTCATCAGTGCTCTCAACATCCTTGAAGGCTTCAATCTCACCACGATGGTGTCCCGGGAACAGGCTCTTCACTGGGTGGCAGAGGCAAGGCCAACCCCTCCATCCTGCCCTGGGTCTTGGTATACTGGGAGTGGGGGGATGGGCTAATGCCATGGGACAGGACTAACCTCCAAGTTTTCTCACATGAGGATCATTAGCGTGGGTGCTGGGAGGAGCCGGCAGCCTCTTCCACACTCCTGTTACATTTTCAGACCCTGAAGATTGCTTTAGCCCTGGCCAGCAGACTGGGAGATCCTGTCTACGATTCTACCATCACTGAGAGCATGGATGACATGCTCAGGTGGGTCCCAGGGCAGGACCCTCAGCGTGGCAGAGGTGGTGGTGGGTGTGAGGAAAGGATCAGATGAAAAGCAGCTGGTACATCAATAAGACGTGGAGACCCAAGTCAATTTCAGCTCAGTTATACCTCAGTGTGACACTGGTTGCCTCTCACATCACTTACCTCAGTTTCCCCGTTTGTATGATGAGTTAGTATGCATCACTTGGCTCTTAAAACTTTCTTACTCTAGCAAGGCACATATCTGGGCCCACCTGTGCCCCCTTTTAAGTGGAAAAAGAAAGCTTAAGAACAATGAAAAGTCTCCAAGCAAATACCTGAGGTGATGAGGATTTTTACCATAATGTCTCCACATTAGCAGCATAACACTATAGTAAGATTGTGGGCTGTGGTCAGACTGACTCAATTCAGATCCCAGCTTCACGATCCACTAGCTAAGCAGCATTGGGCAAGTCACTTAAATTCTGTCTCAGTTTATACAAAGGGGCCTGACAGTAATGGTGCCAACCTCACGAGGTTGTGGTAAGGACAAAATAAGGTCATACGTGCAAAACACGTTGTGTGGCACATAATAAATATTCAACAAATAGTATTAGTAATTGGCAATACGGGTGGGTAAGAATGGTTGCTATTTGATTGCTATTCTGACTGACTGAAAGGCTAGCTAAGGGCAAAATCAGAACCCAAAAATATAGTTAGCATAAATTTGTAGTATTACTCAAACAACTCTATGAATAAGTTGAAAACAATGAAACTAAAATGAATAGGTTATAATTAAAAAGCAAAAAAAGCAACAACCAAAATAGTAAGCAGTTCAAGGTCACAAGGATAAGGGCTAAAAGCAAAGCCTCTGTCCCCCCACCCAATCCACTTGAAACAAAGCCCTCTGAACCACTTCTGCGTGGCCTCCACAAAATTTGTGGTTGAAAACGGAATGAAAGTCTTCAGTAATCCGTAGTAACTTGTCACTCTAACGAACTAGAATCACCAAACTAACTGTCATTAAGTAAGAAACCCTCAGCCAAAATTTAAAAGATCTGGAGAATTTCATGTTGTTTTCAGCCTAGCTCTAACACACACACATAAGTGCGCATGCACACACACACACACACACACACCCCTATATTAAATTCACTCAAGTAATTCTTCCAATAGTTTTTAAGGGTTTACTGTATGTGCCTTGAAAAATAATTTTAATAGTAGATAAGATCCCTGTATACAAAACCCTTCTCTGACTAAACTCTTTTTTTTTTTTTTAAAGATTTTATTTATTTATTTGACACAGAGAGAGAGAGATCACAAGTAGGCAGAGAGGAAGGGAAGCAGGCTCCCTGCTGAGCAGAGAGCTGGATGTGGGGCTTGATCCCAGGTCCCTGAGACCATGACCTGAGCTAAAGGCAGAGGCTTAACCCCCTGAGCCACCCAGGTGCCCCTGACTAAACTCTTCATAAAACTTCAGTTCAAGGGGCACCTGGGTGGCTCAGTTGTTAAGCCTCTGCCTTCAGCTCAGGTCATGGTCTCAGGGACCTGGGATCAAGCCCCACATCGGGCTCTGTGTTCAGCAGGGAGTCTGCTTCTCCCTCTCCGCTCTGCCTGCCGCTTTGCCTACTTGTGCACTTTCTATTTCTGTCAAATAAATAAATAAAATCTTTAAAAAAAAAACTACTTTATTTCGAAACTACAAACATTAGGTTAAATAAATTCTGTTTGTTCATTCAAAACAAATATTATCTGAGCATCCACTATGCCCCAGGTACTTTCAGAGAGAAGATTAAGTGAGTAAATAAAGTCAAATAACTAAGACTCTTGATTTAAACACTAAATAAAAGTTGGCTCTAAAAGAGAATCTGGATAACACTTAAACGAACCCAGTCAGTTCAACAATGATTTCCTGGATGTTTCCCATGTGCTCAGAATGAGAGATTTTGCTCTCACAGACCTAATAGTTCCAGAGCAGGGTGTGGGGGAGGGAGACGTTAATCAAATAATCGCACAAACAGACATCACAGTGTGGTAGATGAGGTGTAATAAGAGCCTGCTGTGTATTAATCTCCTACCCCTTGTCTTTTCAGCAAGGTAGAAGCCGCCTACCTCCGGGGCCACATCAATGACTCCCAGGCGGCCCCTGCCCCACTCCTGCCCGTCTACGAGTTGGATGGGGCTCCCACAGCGGCTCAGGTGCTGATCATGGGTCCTGATGACTTCATTGTGGCCATGGTCAGGTATGCCAGCTCAGACACAGAACCCGGCACTGGAGATCATCTGGACCAGGAAGAGATGGGAGCCAGATGGGAATAAGGGTGACCTCAGGGCTTACCTGGCTCCAATCTCTATCCCCAGCTCCCTGAACCGCCCCTTTGGTAGTGGCCTCATCACCCCCTCGGGGATCCTGCTCAACAGCCAGATGCTAGACTTCTCGTGGCCCAACAGGACTGCTAACCACTCTGCACCCAGCCTGGTAGGGCCTTGCATCCCTCCTCCCCGGGGGACCTTGAGGCTAGGTAGGAGGTATAGCAGTATGGCTGCTCCTCCCTCCCTACTTCCTCTAGGAACTTCTAGTATAAATAAAAGGAGCCTAAACAAAGTGTCTCCTTCACCTGCAGCCCAAGTCTGGGGCTTGGGCCTGAAGAAACCCCATCCCATTCTGTCCCTGTCTCACTGTGTGACCTGGGGAAAGTTTGCCCCCGTTCTCTTGGCCTCAGTTCCTTCATCTGTACAATAAGGATATTAGCCCTCATCTGAGGCTTTGGCACTTTTCAGTGCAGTGGGCTACGATTTTGTGATGGTGAGCTGATTAGCCTCAGCCCTCTTGTTAGTCAAGGGAGGAAGAAGATAGGAATTCTGGTCTAGTTGGAGGCCAATACTCTTACTCTCAGGGCATGCTGGGGCCCTGCCAGGACAATGAGAGATAGGGATGACCAGGGTGGAGATTATCCTCTTCTTCCCTTTAGCCATTTGTCTTGGCTTGGTACCCTCCCCTCGCACCCATAGTAGCCCCATAACAACTCAGTGGGTCCACATCCACCCCAGTTATCCAGGGACCCTGCCTGTTTCATAGACAGCAAACTGTGGCCTGGGAAGGGACCAGTCTCCCATGAAAAGCTGCCCCACCTGTTATCTCCCTGTGGTCTCGGTGCTCTGACAACAGGAGAATTCGGTGCAGCCAGGGAAGCGACCACTGTCTTTCCTGCTGCCCACCGTGGTCCGGCCAGCGGAGGGACTCTGTGGGACCTACCTCGCCCTGGGGGCCAATGGAGCTGCCCGGGGCCTCAGCGGACTGACCCAGGTGAGGTTTCCTCCATGGTAGGCACTTTGTGACCAGCAGCCAAGCTGTGGCCTAAACTGTAGGTGCCCTCGTGTCTCTGGTTTGGTCTCATCCCTAGCTCAACAAACATAGGCGGAGGCTGCTGTGACAGGCCCATCCTGGGTACTGGGGGCATAGGCTGTGCTGAGTTTCTTAGCCAAAATGGAGCCCTGAAGCTCCCTGTCCTCTAGGTTGGATGGGCAATCATGGGTTGGTGGAACTAAGAGGTGATTCAGCACCTGGGCTGCCTAGGTCTGTCAACCTCAAGTCCCATGATGCCTCTGCTCAGCATCTGAAGAGACAAGCAGCCCTCTTTAGAGTCTGATTTTGAAAGGAAGTGTCTACTCTCCAGAATGTCTCACAATAGTTACATGAACGTTGTGAGCACCTGATATATGTGCCAGGCACTTACATTGGCAGGTGGTGAGTTAAGTAACCTGAGCTTTGGAATCAGACAGTCCTGGGCCCCAACCCAGGTGCTGCCAATTTCCAAGTGCATGATGGGGCATTCGCTTAATCTCTCTGAACCTCAGTCTCCTCATCTGTAAAATGGATATAGTAACAACAGCTAACCTTTATGGAGTTCTGCTAAGCACCAGGCATGGTGTTACATGTGCTTGCTCTTTTAGCCTTCCCAATATTGGGAGAAATCCTTATTTCCATTTTGTATATGAGGAAACTAAAGCCCAAAGAGGTTAAGAAGTTAGGTCCAATTGAGTAAGAATGGGCGGAGGGTTTGTTTTGAGAGCATACCCACACTCCTAACCTCTAAGCTAAAAGTACCCATGCTGTGCCCTAGACTACTCCAGCTGTTAACCCTGTCCTGGCCAGGGAGAAGGGAGGAGAGCCCCGGGCCAGACACAAGAGATTGACTGCCAGTGGGTACCTCTTCCTTGGCTCTCTCTGAGCTCTAGAGTGAATTACTTTCCCTTTCTGGCCCTCATTTTATCCCTGTATGAAATGGGGACAGTCATTACAGGCCTGCCTGTCTTGAGGCTGTTCAGATAATACTCCTAGAATAAGGGTTCCAAAGAGTAAGAAGTCTGGCCCAGGGGTGAGATCTGGGGAATCCTGAATCCCCATCCCTGGGGCAGCCCTGACTTTGACCCCTTGGCTGCCCACAGGTTTTACTGAATGTTCTGACCTTGAACCGGAACCTGAGTGACAGCCTGGCCCATGGCCGTCTGCATCCAGACCTGCAGTCCAACCTCCTGCAGGTGGACAGTGAGTGCAGAGCAGAGATCCCCATGGGGTGGGCAAAAAGCCGTGTAGAGAAAGGGGCTCCTCCCAAGGGTGTCCCTGCCTCCACCAGCACCACTGCTGCCAGTGAATCTTCGGGTTCTTCCAACTAACTCCTTTGGGACGGTGAAGGATCTGGGGACTGGAACCAGATCTGTCATTTACTGGTTGTGTGGCCTTGGGAAATTCATGTCTCCACTCTGAGCCTCAGTTTTCTCATTTGTAAAATAAGATACGGTTTTCATTCTGCAAATCATTCATTCATCAGTTTGTATGGAATACCTACACTGTGTGCCAGGCATTATCTTAGGTGCTGAGGATATGGCATTTACAGACAGAGAGGGAAATAAATAATCAAAGCAATATAAGAAAGTAAAATAAGTGCTCTGCATGCTGACATAGAGACTGACTCAGTGACTAGGGAAGTCTTCTCTTTGGTGACATTTAAGCTGAGATCTGAAGAGTAGGAGGGAACCCACCGTGCAGAGAACTGGGGCAGGTTTTGTAGGCGAAGGGAACAGATGCAAAGAATTCAGGGCAGAAATGGGCTTGGCATGTTTTAGGAGTAAAAAGTAGACCAGGGTGAGTGAGAGTGAGATGAGGCCAGAGAGGCAGGTAGGGGCCAGGTCATGGACCTTGTAGATTACAGTGAGAAAATAGACTTTCCTCAAAGAAAGGTGCCTAATTTTAGACACAACTTAATTTTGTAAATGGGAAAGTATGTACAGCTTTGAGGAATTTTTATTACAACAGACAATGTATTATGCAAGTTCAAAAGGGATAGAACATTGAATGAGACATGGTTCTTGCCTAGTTGGTATTATCATCCGCATTTTACAAAGAAACTGATACGCACAGAGGTTAAAAATCAGTCAGTGAGTGGCAGAATTGAGATTAGAACATATACCTAGCTGATACCAAAGACTCAATTTTTTACCGCTTGTCTCCTAGACTGAAGCACATTAGAAGTCACAGACCTAAATCCTCAGCAGTCACACCCTGTGGTCTGGCTGGTAACACTCTGGATCTGGTGTGATGATAATGAGGCTATCCCAACTAATAACTTCTGATCTCTCCTGAATGTGGGGCTCTATGATGCTAAGTTACTTGGGCCAGGGTAGGGGGGATGGTTGGATTTGGTTCATCCTAGCCTCCCTTAAGGAGCTCACAGTCTAAGACAGGAACATGAGGAGTAGAGGCTTAGCGAAGGGAAAGTTCATCCACTAAGGGCTATGGGCTGGGTCTTAAAGTATGATTAGGTATTTGGCATGTCCAGAACCCAGAACATTCTGGACAAATTGTCAAAAGCCAGAAAGAATGGCTCAGAAAGCAGCCAGGAGGCCTGCTGGCTCCTAGAGACAATGTTTCCTAAATTTCAGAATTTATCCAGCACCTTCATGAATTTTGCCACATTTACACACCATGTGAGCCATTATTTACATATGTACCTCTATAAATGGACTTCCTTTTCAGTGTAAGTGTATTTTATTTATTTTTTATTTTTTTAAAGATTTTATTCATTTATTTGACAAACAGAGATCACAAGCAGGCAGAGGGGCGGGCAGGGATGGGGGGAAGCAGGCTCCCCACTGAGCAGAGAGACCGATGCAGGGCTCGATCCCAGGACCCTGAAATCATGACCTGAGCCGAGGGCAGAGGCTTTAACCCACTGAGCCACCCAGGTGCCCCATAAGTGTATTTTAAAGGTAAATCCAATATCATAATCACACATGGAAAAGTAGCATCATTTGCCACAAATAAAAGATAAATAGCTACTACAAGGCAACTGTTTGTAGATCTTCCGTGAATATGGTGCCCACAGAAGGCTCTGAGCCCTGCTCTCTCTACTGAAGAAGGAGGTTAGAAATGTTAGGGTCCAGACTAAAACTTAGTCCTTGCCATCATCTAAAGGATTGAAAATGAACTGTAAAGGAAAAACATGTTTGACTTGGTGATTCACTGCTATTCAGTGTTATATCTTTACCTCAAGAACTACCCTAAATTATCCCATCTGCAGAAGTAAGAAGGCCAGATCTTTATTGAGGAGCAGTAAGAGGTAAGGTTACAGGGCTTATCCTGGAGGTTCTTGGTTAAGAAGCATGTGCTTATCCACTTGACTGGAGATGGGATAGACCTGAAATGTTTTATTTAGGGGAAATGGATTGAAGGGGGGAGAATTTAATTTGGGGAAACAGAGGCAACTAGGATAAAGGACCAAGCAAGAAATGGCAAGGGCCTGAACTTACATAAAGAGGGTGGGGATTTCTTCATTTATCCATGTAAAGGCAATGAGGATCAGTGGCCAACAAGACAACATCCTTGCCTTCAAAACGCTTATAATCTAATGGAGAGGGACATAGTAAATAAATGAATAAGTAAACAAGTAGTGATAAGTACTTGGAAAGAAAACAAAGCAAGGTGAGGATGACAGGGCTGCCATTTTAGATAGCGGTCAGGGAAGTCCTCCTCGAAGATTGGAATGAAGTAAGGAAGCCGGTTTTGTGACTTTCTAGGAGGAGAGCATTCCAAATAGAATTTGTGCAAAGCCCTGAGGCAGGAGCATATTTGGCCTACCTGAGGGACAGCAAGGAGGCTAAAGTAGAGTTAAAGGAGAGAATGGAAGGAAGTGAGGAGAGGAGTTTAGGGAGGTAGTGAGGTCCCAGATGATGTTGTGCCTTAGACGCCTTGGTAAGGACTTTGGATTTTCTTCTAAGAGTCATCAAAGATGTCGGAAGTTTTTGAGAAGGGGAAGTGAGTGGTCTAATGGCTTAAGAGGATCCCTTTGTCTCTGTGTGACTAGGCTGCAAGGAAGCAGGACTGGAACCAGAAAGACCAGTCAGTGGGCTATGCAGTAATGGCTGCATTTTGGCTATCCTGGCAAGTAATGATGGCAGCTTGGCCTAGGCATATGGCGATGAAGAGCCCATAGCCCTTTCTTTCAATATTAAGAATGAAAATATGTTATTGATCACGTACTATATGCAGCATTCTGATCTCTGTGCTTTCTGTATTTTATCTCTTTAAATCCCTACAACAACTTCATGTGGTAGGTTCTCATATAATCCCCATTTTATGCATGAGGAGGCTGAGGCTCAGAGAGGCAAAGCAGTTTGCCCAAGGTCATACAGTGGGCATCCAGGACCAAGACTCAGGTCTGACCGTGGGACTCCTGAGCCAGTGCTCCGAACACTCTGAATGTGTATATGTTGGGGGGATGGTTTTCAGGTGAGTTCACAGAGGAAGAGATTGAGTTCCTGGAAGCCAGGGGTCACCATGTGGAGAAAGTAGATGTCTTATCCTGGGTCCACGGCAGCCGGAGAACCAACAACTTCATCATTGGTGTGAAGGACCCTCGGAGCCCAGATGCAGCTGGAGCCACCATCCTGTAGAGCAGCAGGGTGGGGCGGGGGTCTCTGTTCCCCCGCTTTGCATGTTCCTAGAGTCCCTCCTTTTCCCAGGTTTGGTCTCAGGGGGACCCCAGGGATGCCCTAGATCATGGGCCAGAGGGGATACTTAACAAACCCTATCCCAGAGTAACTGGAAAATTCTCTAACCAGAAGCCTGTGGTGGTGGTGGTGGTGATGGTGGTGGTGGTGGTGGTGGTGGTGGTGGTGGTGGTGGTGGTGGTG